CAGGTAGTATACTGGCTGTTGACTCCAAGGAATGACGAATCCAAAATCTCCAGGCCGAATGGTGGATTGTTCACTCATGGACAGTTGTAGGCAGCACAACAGAATCCCGAACCACAGAAGAGTTTCTCTTTTCCCAGGATGTTCATAATATACTGGAAGGAAGCCACACCCCTAGGGAAACTCCCTTTCAATGGATTGGCTGCTCAGAATATGTACATCTGATCTCATCATGGGAACAACCCACATCACAATTGCTTAAACCACACAGAATTGTGGTCCAGCCAAGTTGACACACAGCTCCAACTATCACAAGAGCCAAGTTTCATTTCCCAGGCTTCTTTTTCCTTTCTCTTCCAAAGTCCCATACTTCCATGAGTCTGGAGTCATTGCGCTCCAGAGTCCCACTTCTGATGCCAACTGTAAAAATGACATGACCATGACAGACCTTGCCAACTAAATTCACAAGGAGGAAATGGAAGAATCAAGATCATCAGCCTAGCCCAGGGCTGATTCCTATGAGGTGGAGGTCAAACATACCTCCATCCTCCAATCTTTTTTTACCGATTCTGGCACCAGCCTTCCCTCCTAGTGTAATGGGCACAGTTGCCAATGCTTACTTTCATATATTTTTTATGGATTAAATGAGAGAAAATATGTAGTGAGCCCAGCTATAAAACTTGTACAGCAGTGACAGACTTCATCTAACTTCACAGTGAGAAAACAGAAAGTCAAGATCATTAGTCCAGCCCTTGAATGGTTTCTACAAGAAGGAGGTCAAACCTACCTCCACCATCCAGTCTTTTTTACCAGTTCTGACACTAGTCCTCCCTCCCATGGCACTGTCCACTCTGCTGGGTTCCATAATTCATTTCAATGGCACACAGAACTCATAAACTATATTCACCATTTTGGGGTTTATTAGGAAAGTAACAAGTTCCAATTCATAATATGGAAATACTCACTGTACAGTTCTTTAGTCAGAACAGCTTCTTGATAGTGCCTGGAGGCAAGCCTCTCTCAGTTCTTGGCCCCTCAGGCCCTTGGCCTAAACTGTGCTCTGCTTGAGCAAGTGTTACAAATCCTTTAGCTCCTCCAGTAAGTGCTCAAAGGCAACCCACTCCACTAGAAAGCCTCCTTCCTGAAGGCACTCAGTTCTCTGACTCTGTAGGCCAAGAAGGCCACTGTGCTATCTCATGCTGGTCTTCTGGTTCCCACCATTGCTGTTTCTCTGCCACTGCTTCTGTCTACTGCCATCTCCAATGTTGTACCTCTCTCTTTCTCCTGCAACTAGGAGGTTCTCAGTGTGGGGACCCTAGGTCCAAAGGATGCACTGTGTTCTTAGTGCTTCTTCTTCTTGATGATACTTAAGGCCCCTTTCCCCAGTTCTGGGATTGGCCCCCCATAAGCCTAGTGGGATGGCAAAATTGGGGAATCTCCTTATTAGGGCAGCACACACCTTATTGGCATGGACCCACCCTATCCAGGATTCCATGTACCTTATTTGCATTATTTGCAAGTTGGCCAATCCCCTTAGTGGGTCACAAGCACCTTATTTGCATAGTCTAACCCAATCATTTTGTGGAAGACACAAAGACCAGAGCCAGAAGGGGCATATGAAGTAATTCACTGCATTGCACCATCCCAGGCTCTCCTGCATTTTCTGCCTTTGCATATGTATTCATTTCTCTTTGTTGCTGGGCATACTCGGCTAATGGCAGAAGTCTGTTCTCTTCAATGTCACCAGAACTGCTCTTTAAAGCTATCCAGAATGGGTAGCTAAGAATTGCAGATAGTTCAGTATCAAACCTAATCCCTAAAAAAAAACTTAGATGGGTCTGTCAATTGTAGTTCTATAGTCTCATTTTTTGTAGGAAAGTGGGCTGAGTTGGCACTAGCATCAGAACAAACTTCGGGAGAATGCTCTAATGGCTTCCCTTCTCTCAGGCAGGAAATGTGCCTCCTTTTTCTGCCACAGTTCCTCTCTCTTCTGGGCACCGCTGCTTTTCTTCTTCTGATCTCAATTGTCCAATGTACTTAATATTTCTGCTTTTGAGGCTGGTTTATACATAAAATGATACTTTAACTTTCCTGTACTATTAGCAATCCTAGGACCCCTTCTTACCTTTCCCCAATTATGTCAGCTCCAACTTTCACTTGAGAGTTAGTATTTAGTTTGTATTGCAACTTGGGCTTCCTGTTTCTGTTAAACTAGAAAATCCCTCGGTTTCTCTGCAATTCCTGATTTCTGTTGGTTGAGTTGCTTCTAGTGCAGAGACCACAGGACATGGCAATATAAGTCATTTCCAGCAAGCATTGTAGAACTCAGTAAAAACAACTTTTCTCTTCATTTTCCCAGCTTCAAAAAGGCAAATGACTTATTCCAGGATGGATATTGAACACAAGGGCCCAGACCTGATTATGATCTTGAACATAGTGCCTTGATCTAAGCCCTTTATATGCACTGTATAGTGGTTAAGTTTGTGTGTCAACTTGTCTGGGCTTGGTTGAGTGGCTGGGAAGCTGGTGGTAGTTATTCCCCATGGTGATATTGGTAATTAAGTCCATGATGGAATGTACTGGAGCAGCTGAGTAGCTACTTTAGGGATGTGGTCTGCTTCCTGTATATAAGAAACAGCTTTGGGAATGGTCTGTAGCTTATGGCACGCTTGAGTCCTGAATTGCAAATAGTTCAGTATCATTGTTGTTCAGCAGCCTGCCATGCTCTGCCGATCTTGGGACTTTCAGTGGACTTGAATTAATGGCCTGATGTGTGGTTTGGTAACATCAGGACTGTGCCATTTTATTTGTTGACCTTTGGCTTGTTAGCCTCAGCAGCCAAGAGCTGCCTGAGTGAAGAGATGCCTCTGGCTTAAGTGGGCCAGGAGCAAGAGGCAGAGCTGAAGCCCAAGGTCAAGAGGCTTTCACACAGCTCCTAGAGCCTGGCACATTGAATTTGGACTTCTAGCCTCCAGAACTGTAAGAGAATAAACTCCTGTTTGTTAAGGCCATCCCATTGGTGGTATATTTCTGTCAGAGCAGAACTAGGTAACCAGAACACAGTGTTTCACTGAAATCTCACAATAACTATGAGGCTAGACAAATTGCTGCAGGTGTCTGCCTGAGGCCTTTGTGTGAACCATGCACATCATGGACATAGGATGGTTTTCCAACAGCCTGGGGAGGACTCTGGATTGGAAGGAATAACTTAGAGAGTGCCTGGATGAATCTAACATTTTTGGATAGATACTAACCTGTTTGGGAAGACCATATTGGGAGGACAGCTCACAGAGCAAGACCAGTTTTGCAACATCAAGAGTAAATTTACTTGTCTTTCTCTCCAGTTAGTGATATGTTTGGTTTGATGTTCTAGTTGTATGAGGATTGTTTTTCTTTCTGGCTGGTTAGACCATCTGTCACATTTGTCCAGCTGGAGGTTATCTGGCTTACTCGGAGACTGGCTGGCTGCTATCTTTCTGGCTGGAGATCTGCATGTCTGTCCAGCTAGGGATGTGTGTATGTGTCTGTCAGAGGGTCTTGAAAAGCTTGGAGTCCATCTATCTGAGGCCCAGCTGAGTCTATCTCTTTGGAGAATCATCAATCTCTCTGGTTAGGAGCAATTCTATCAGTCACTGGAAGTTGGTCTATCTGCCTGTGTGTCAGCCCAGTCTATCATGCTAGGCATCTGTCTAGATGACTGAAGATTTGTCTCATAAGCTAGCAGTCTGTTGTGTTTATCTGTCCAGCTTCTGGGCTAGGGGTCTATCTGGTTGGGGGATCTGTCTGGCCAGCATGACTATTCAAAGAGGTCCCTCTGTCTGAATATTTGGAGATGTGTGTATTTATTCATACGAGGGGGGTGCATGTGTGTCCATTTGGGGGATCATTTGTCTTATCAGTTGGGAGTCCATGTCTGTCCAGATAGGAGTCCTCCTTCCCAACTGAGGCCTGTCCATTCAGCCAGGAGTCCATCCATCCAACAGGGAACCCACCTATCTCAGAAGCTGGGAGTCCATTTATTTGAAGGGCTGGGGGTCCATTTGACTAGCTAGCAGAAAGTGTATGTGTGAACGATCTGCCAGTCATCAATCTGTCTACCCAATGTGGAGATAGTCTGGATAGTAAGGTGGGGGCAAGGGAGGCTCTCTGTCTAGTTCTAGATGCTTGTCTGAGGGTCCCTTGGCCTGTCTATCTAGCTGACTATGGTATTTGTGTAGTCAGGGATCTGAGTGGCTAGTTGAGACTCTGAATGGTATGTCTTTCTGTGCTCACCTGAGGGATTTGTATAGTTGAGGATCTAACTGAAGGGTTGGCAGTGTATCTCTCCAGTTGGAAATCTATTTATATCTGTCTGAGAGTCTGTCCAGCTAGAAGTGCACCTGTCTGGATGTCTAATTAGGGTGTCTTTCTTCTGGAAACATTGCCTGGTTATTTATCTGAGGTTGGTCAGGCAGTTTGTCAATCCATTTTTCTAGCTGAGGGTCCATCCACCTATTTGAAGACTGCCCTTCTGAAGGTTTGGGTGTCCAATTCAGAGATCCATCTGGCTTTCTGGCCAGGGATGTTTGCCTGTCAGGGTCAGCCTACTTGGCTGTGTTTATGGAAGCTTAGACCTGTTTGGACCACTGTGGGTCTCATCTGTTTTTCTCAGGGTCCACCTATCTATCTGAGTGAGAGATGAAGCTCCAGATACTGAGGGATGAAGAAATCCATAATGTGATGGAAGGCAGTCTCCCAGAGACCAATCTGTCCATCTTCTCCCACATAACTGTGGACTCCACTTACCCAGCCTCTTAGGGTTGGGTCCATTCCTGCTGTTTGCAGGCTCACCAGCTATGCCATGATCATTGAGGTAAAGCCCCCATATTCCCCACTGTTAGAAGCTTTTATTTTGATCCAGGTTCAAGGTTCCCATTCCCAACATTTCACACAAAGGAACAATGGCAGTTGGCAGGGCAATCCAGGCAGTAATGCAGGGCGACAGGCAGGCGTGGCTACTTCTTTCATACCTGGCTCCACTCGGCAGGTGGGTCTCGGGGCCCTTTCGGTTTTCCAATGCGCAGATTGAAGCCTGGGAGAGGAAGGGTGCTGTGGGTCACAAAAAACTCTGGGACACCTAAAGAAGCTAAGGTGCAGAGAAGCGCTACCCCCACACCTCGATGCTCTCCTGATTTACTCTAGTCAACCTACAAGACTCTAAAAACATAAGTCCCATGCCCTCAGCTGTAAACCCCAAGGTCCCTGGCTTTACTTAAAGCTTCAGAGGGTCCCTGTGACTCCAAGCTTTCGCTGACTTACCTAGTCCACTGGTCTGAACTTCATCCGCCACATCCTCATAGGCACCGGTCCAGACAGAGCCTTCGTTGGCTGGAGCTGCAGCAGGAGTCCCCCATGAGTCAGCCCTGCCCCCAGCTTAGAGTCAAGAGACCCCAACAAGGGGCAGAGAATTTAACTCCCAGAAGCTGCAAGAGGACTAGAGAGGGCTAGCTAGGGGCAGGGCAAGAGGCAAAACGGGCTGACCCACCAAGGGGAGACGGGAGGTGAGAGGAGTCGGAGGTGTGGCCAGGACAGACATCCACCTTTAGGGCAAGGCCTAGACAAAGTGAAGTTGGAAGAGAAACTGGGACCCCACCTCAGGACCTTGGTTTAACCAAGAGAAATTTCTGAGCTATAGCCAGGAGGTCCCGAGATGCCCAGTGTGACCAGCTGTACGCCCAGGGGGCGTGACCAGGGAAGCCTGACGTCAACCTCCAGGGCGTGGCCAGGCTGCACTCCGGTCAAGGGTCTTCCTAGCCACCAAAAAGTCTCAGGTTCCCCTAATCCTATGCAGTTGAGCAGCTCCAGAAGGCAGTTAGGGTGCTGCCTCGGGAAGCCCAGCATCTCCGGCGCCAGGATCCGCCCATCCTCACCGTGACCCAGCAGCTCCTGTTGCTCGTCCTCCGCCCGGACCCCGACGTCAATCGCGTCGTCTTGGAGCCGCCTTATGCGCGGTTTAACTTGGCTGTAGACAGGACCTTCCTCTGAGCTGCGTCCGCTAGCCTCAAGTCCGGTGCCCGCAGGGGGCCTGCGCTTTTGCACCACAGCATAAGTGTCCGCCATACCGTGGGTTGGGGGGGGTGTGTCCTGGGGCACCGAGATGCTCCTGGGGCGGGTAGGGCGGTGAGGGCTCCAGGGCCACAGCCGGAAGTGAAACCACAGGGTTGGGGGTGGAGGAAGGGGGGAGGGGAGGAGAAAAGAGAGGGAAGTGCTTAGCACGGAAACCACTGGCTTCCTTCTTGGAGGTCAAGCGCAGAAAAGAAGTGTTGGGTGGGAGAAATAGGGGTCTCTGGGTAAGGGCATCTTGTTTCTGTATCCCTAATGCCCAGTGAAAGGAGCTCTGGTGGCGCAGTGAGTTTGGCTGCTAACCAGGTTGGCGTTTGGAACCCTGTTCCGGGGGAGAGGAGACAGTTTGCTTCGGTAAAGACTTAGCAGCCTTGGAAACCCAGTGGGGCTCTCTATGAGTCGTAATTGACTTCATGGCAGTGGGTTTGAAATTTTTGAATACCCAGATTGTGCTAGTCTTGGCGAAAAGGGCCAGCGTTGAAGCTAAATCGGCAGGGTATTGGAGGGTGGTCATTTCTGTGTAAATGTTTGTTGAGTAAAAGTATAGGAATTGGCATTTAAAGGGAGGAATGGATAGCCTCAAAACGGAGGGCGAGACTCAAGGACTAAAAGGATGAATCTCTCGTGTAACTGGAGGGTCAAAATCATGTATGCAGCACCCAGCGTGGATGCCGACAAGTAGGGGGCATCAAGAAATGTTTGCTGAATTAATGACTGTGGGCTCAAGGAAAGGGCTAACCTCCTAGGGAGTGGTATCTCTGGAATAAGAGAGATTATTGTGTGTGATGGTCCCTAGGGCTCAATCCAAAGAAAGTGTCAATGAATATTTGGTGAAGTGAACAGCAAGGAAGTGGCTAGTGTCTGAAAGATGAGGAAAGGGCTACCATCCAAGCATGAGAAATTGGAAGAGGAAGAATTGAGGGGTAGAGGTGGATACCTGAGGACTCCACCAAGTGGGCAGCGTATGACAAGGAGGGTCTGGGAAGTCCTGCAGGACAGGGCATCATTAGAGTGGGAACAATTCTAGGGAGAGAGTGTGAGGCAAGGGTAAGCACATGTAGAATAAGCTTCAGTGTACAGTTTGATAAGGGAGAGAGAAGGAGGGTGGATGTGGCAGGGACCAGCCTCTGCTCCAAGAAGGACTGCAGGGTCTGGGGGCTGTGATGGTGCAAGCAATAGACCTCTGTTCTGGGTCCTGGCCTCAGAGGGTGTTGAAGATGGGCAGGAAACCACTGGGGAAGTGTCCTCTTTATCTCGAGGTTTTCATAGTGGGGCTGGCATTCTGGAGTGCTGAGCAGAACATCTGAGCTACTGTATGGTAGACAAACCTGTACTGCTTGTGGGTGGGGAGGAACATTATCGAATAGGGAAGATGAGGCAAGGAGTGGGGAAGGGATGGAAGCCTGGCCTGTGTCCTTGGGAATGAATGCCCATGGCTGCACCTCTGCCTGCACAACTGAAGCCTTCTGCTTCAGCATCTCAGGACCATGTGTAAGAGGATGAAGTTAGACAGGATCATCTGGGCAGAGAGAAGAGACATACATGTGTGGTACCACACAGATTTGGGACATGAACCACACACACACAATACACATATGAATAGCCTCATTGTACCTGGGTCAGGAGAAGTTGCCTCACATAATCTACGGTGCAAAGGATGCTGTTTGCCCACAGCCTGCACTGACAACATTGAGCACAAACTCAGGGCCTAACTAGGACCCCTTTCAAATGAGGTCTTTGGGATTGGGATGAGATCCCTAATGAGGGATTTCCTGTGGGACCTCTTGATTCTGAGAATCTCCAGATTATAATGTAAAAGGGAAAAAATAATAATTGCCTACAATCATTCAGCATCAACTGTGTGTTTACCAGCAGGCAGGCAGTGTTCAATAAATGGTAATCATTTCAGTCTACAATGTGAGCAATACAGCCTCAAGGTTTCTGGAAACAAGCACTCAAGCTCCATACTGGCTCCAAGCCCTGCATTTCACCCCCTATCGCTTTCTCCCTAAACCTTCAGTGAATATAAAGGGGCCAGAGCCCAGATCCCCGGAGGTGTCGGGCTTCCATCACCATGATGAGCACATGGGAAGGATTTCTGTGGACCTCACAGTCTGGCCAGAAGGTATACTGCAGCTGGTGCACAGAACAGGATTTCTGGAATGCAAGAAAAGAAGGGAAAATAATTTGAAAAGCATTTATTGAGAACTACTATTTCCATAGTGATACTGTCTCAAACCCAAGGAGGGGTCGCTATGAGTCAGATCCCACTCGATGGCAAATAACAACACAACACTACTTGCTAGTTTTAAGCATCTTCCATTTAAATCTTCCTGATAATAACTGAGTAGGTGGGTACTATTGTTCATGCAAAAAACACTCAGGAAACAGCTCCCCCCCCCCCCTAATCTGGAAGCCCCTTCACCTCTTCTACCCCTTTCAATACCTCCTGGAATGTGACCTGGAGGGTCCTGAGCATAATGTCTGCATTCAGCTGTCCCTCTCTTGTGTGTATACGGGGCAAGTGGGAAAGGGAAGGGACTGGTTATTAGGGTGCCAAAAGACACACAATAAATAAAAAAAAAAAAAAGCATTCCTGATTACAATGAAAGTTTAAAATGTTTTAAACAATGAATTTACCCAAACATTGCCCATGACTTTCAAGAAGAAAATACTTGATGGAGGAGAGAAAGAACTACTTTAAAAGACCAAACAAGCCCAATTAAAATGAAAAACGACTTTTCTTCTGAAAAGTTTTATTGCATTTATCAAACACCAAATACATGTATCTCCAGAGGTGGGAAACTTCCCTGAATTCTTTTTGAAATGGTAAGAGTAATAATATTTCAAGAATCCAATCAGACACATTTTTATTACAAAGATAATTATTATCATACCCAAAATATAAATGGTAACAGTGTACATGAATATTAACTGCATTTGTAGGCTAACACCAGAGAGTTCCCTGTAGTACTCTCAGGGGAAGGTGGGAAAACTCTTGATCCTTTCAGATCCAGCCCAAAAGGCTTCCCACCCTGGGAATCTTTCTTGAAATCTCCTAAAGCACCCAAGATTCTGCAGAACCCCAGTTTCATCTCTGCCCTAGCTCACCAGGATGATGCTGAAGAGCCCAGTTTTCAACTGCTCCCGTTCCTGGGCCCACTAATGCTCATACTTTTTTGTGATAGATTACACTGATTGTTTTTTCTAATTTTGAACCATCTTTGCACTCCTCATATGAACCCCACTTGGTCATGATGTATTATTATTATTATTATATGTTGTTGATACTTGATATTGGCTAGGATTCTGATGAAGATTTTTTGCAACTATATTCAGGAGGGATAATGATCTGTAGTTTTCTTTTTAATGATGTCTTTGCTTGGTTTTGGTATCAAGGTTATGATTACTTAATAAAATGAATTTGGGAGGATTCCATTTTTTATGTTCTGGAACAGTTTGAGTAGGATTGGTGTCAGTAATTTTCTGAATATTTGGTAGAATTCTCCAGTGAAACTGGGCCAGGACTTCTTCTTGTTGGTATTTTTTTTATGACCTGTTCCATTTCTTCTTTTGTTATGGGTCGGATAAAAATTTCCACCTCAGTCTGCATTACTTTAAATAATGTTTTTAGAAATCTGTCCATTCTAGATTTTCAAATTTGTTGGAGTGCAGTTCTCCATGTTGTTGTTATTTACCATCAAGTCAGACCCGACTCATAGTGACCCCTCCTTGGGTTTCCAAGGCAGTATCACTACAGAAGTAGATTGTGCAAACTTCCTTCCGAGGAGTGGCTGGTGGGTTTGAACCTTCTGGTTAGCAGTCAAATGCCTTAGGCACTATGCTACCAGAGCTCCTACAGTACTCCATAGTATCCTGATATTACCCTTTTTATTTCAGTTGGTTCTACTGTGATGTCACCCATTTAATTTCTTATTCATGTTATTTGTATCCTCTCCCTCTTTTCCTTTGTTAAATTTTCCTGTGGTTTGTCAATTTCACTCATCTATTTTTTTAAAAATCAACTGCTAGTCTTGTTGATTTTTTTCCATTGTCTTTAAATTTTCATTTATTTCTGCTTCAATTGTTATTATTTCTTTTCTTGTGGTGACTGTTGGCTTTTTCTGCTGCTCTTTTTTAAATGTTGGAGATGTTGGGTTAAGGAGTTGATTTTGGCTCTTTCTTCTTTTATGATGTTTGCATTTATTGCTAGAAATTGCCCTCTGGTTATTGCTTTTGCTGTATCCCAAAGATTTTGGTATGCTGTATTTTCATTTTTGTTTGATTCAAGGAATATTTTAGTCTCATATTTTACTTCTGCTATTACCCAGTAGTTTTTAAGGAGGGTGTTGTTCAGTTTCCGTGTGTTTGTTCCTCTTCCTTTGATCTTATTGTTGATTTCTAATTTTATAGCATTGTGATCTGAGATGATGCTTTGAAGTATTTAAATGTTTTTAAATTTATTGAGACTTGCTTTGTGGCCCAATATATTGTCTATTCTGGGGATTGTTCCGTAGGTGCTGGAAAAGAGTGTATATTTTGCTGTTGTTAGGTGAAGTGCTCTGTAGATGTCTATAAGCTCAAGTTGGTTGATCGCACTGTTTAGTTCTTCTGTGTCTCTACTGACAGTCTTTCCAGTTGTTCTATCTTTCCTTGAAAGTGGTGTATTAAAGTTTCAGGTAGCTTAGTGCCTAAAGCACTTAACTGCTAACCAGAAAGCTGGTGGTTCACACCCACCAGCCACTCCTTGGAGGGAAGGTTGGGAAATCTACTTATGTAGTGATACTGCCTCAGAAACCCAAGGAGGGGTCACTATGAGTTGGGTCCGACTCAACAGCACATAACAACAACAACAATATTGCTGTGGAGTCATCTTTTTTTTCTATTCAATACTGTTAAAATCTCATTTATGTATTTTGGGGCTGTTTCACAGGTGTGTAGATATTTATTATGGTTATATCCTCTTGATCAATCAATCCTTTAATCATTATTTAATGTCCTTCCTTGTCTCTTATGGTGGTTTTTGTCTTAAAGTCAGTTTTATCAAAGATGAATATTGTCACTCCTGCTCTTTTTTGATTGCCATTTTCTTGATATATATTTTTCCAACCTTTGATTTTTAGTCTATTTTTGTCTTTGTCTCTAAGGTGTGTCTCTTGTTGACAGAACATTGATGGGTCACGTTTTCTTATGCAGTTTGCAACTCTCCATCTCTTGAGTGGTGCATTTAATCCATTTACATTCAGTGTAATTATTGACAAGTATGAATGTTGCTGTCACTTTGCAATTTTTTTTTCAGGGTGTTGCTGATTTCCTTGTTCCATATAATTTTCTGTGCTGAACTCATTCTTTTTTTTATGAATTGTTTTATAATTTGCCTCATTGCTACTGTTTTCATATTTGCCAAATATTTGTTCTTGTACTCTTTATTTTGATGTGAAGGTTTATTATTTTTCTTGGAGGTTATCCTGTCATTTATAATTTTCTTCCCAGGTTTTGAGCAGTATCTTCTATCTTGCAATTTTCTTGACTTCCTCACCATTTAAAAGTTCTGTAACTACATTTATTCCCTCTTTTTGCTTTGTAGTTGTCTTCATTTACCAATTGGCATCTCTAGTGTCCAGTTTAGGGAGCTCTGGTGGCATAGTGGCTAAGACACTTGCCTGCTAACCAGATGGCTGGCGGTTCAAATCCACCAGCCACTCCTCGGAAGGAAGGTTGGGCAACCCTACTTCCATAGTGATACTGCCTCGGAAACCCAAGGAGGGGTCGCTATGAGTCGGGTTTGACTCGACGGCACATAACAACAACAACAGTGTCCAGTTTACAGTCTTGTTTATTTTACAGGCTTATTTTACTTTGGATACTGCTATAACTGGGTTGATTCCAGGATTATGTCATCATATGTGTTAATCATCAGTTATTGTCTGATGTCATTGGCTATCTGTCCAAAGGAGTCCCTTTAGCATCCCTTGTAAAGTTAGTCTGGTTTTAACAAATTCGCTTAATTTCTGCTTAACTGGAAATGTCCTAATTTCACCATTATATGTGTGGGACAATTTTGCTGTGTATATAATTCTTAGTTTGAAATTTTTTTCTTTCAGAGTTTTATACATATCATCCTGTTGCCTTCTTGTCTGCATGGTTTCTGCCAAGAAAATCAAGCTTAGTCTTACTGGTTGCCTTTCGTGGGTAACTTTTTGTTTTTCCTGTGCTAATGTCCCCAACCATAAAAACCTCTCCTGGTTGTGACAATCCCCTCCCTGTGTCCTTTTTACCTATGTATAATTTTCTGTCCAGCTTTTCCTCTCTATGAGTGCTTCCCTTCTGGTGTCTCCTGGCTGATTGATCCAAGGGATGCATCTCCATAGAGTAGGTGGGTGCATCGACCTGGGCTAGGTGTTCTGTATGTAGGTCTTTCTACTGTTGGGCTGAGAGTTAATCCATGTAAGTGATTCCATCTCTAGGCCCAAAGGGTAACCTGGGGCCATAGTCTTAGGGTTCTCTTTCCAACCAGCAATCCTGGTCATTTTCTCTGCTTTTGAACTTTGTTCCACATTTTTCCTCCCATTCTATACAGGGTCACCAGATTTGATCCCTTTCCAAGGGGTTGGTACTGGTAACTGGGCATCATCTAGTTCTGGTTGTAGAAGCTGAGTTCCTGGTTCATCTTATTTTTGGACTAACTGTTTCCAGATGACTTTCATTTTATTTACTCTTCTTTGCTCCAGATGAGAGGAGACCAAAAGTGGCATCCTAGATGGCTGCTTGAAAAGTTTTTAAGAACCCAGTTACTACTCACTAAAGTATGTTGTAGGACAAAATGTTTGTGAGTTATGTGTGCCAATTCAGCATGATGTCCCACAAAACTATAGTCCTGATCCCAGTGATTCTCTCTCACAAGATGTTTGGTTGTCACTGAGAATTCACTTTAACCCTGTCTTCTGTTGCTTCTGGAAATGAATGTGGCTAATTTTGTAGCACAAATGCATATGTAAGATTATCTTCAGCTAAATCTACCCTAGGTTTAAGGTGTATTCCTGTCCACCTACCCTTCCTGATCTCACCTGTCTATGCATTAATCCATAGCTTGGTATTTGATACTTGTGACACTACTGTGTTGTGCAGGTAATATTATTTGCCTCTGTTGCCTATATCTTTTGTGTACACTTCAGGGTCATTCCTTTCCACAGTGCCACCATGCTGGTCACAGACTCTTTCCTTAGCAATCTCCCCTCACCTAAATCAACATGTGACCCCAATAGAGATTTTCCCTCCACTTCCCTCCCATCCCCAGTAACCAAGAAAGTGAGTTTCCTTCTCAGGGCAAAACTTTCCTTGACTTTTTCAATAGTTGGCTCATACGATATTTGCCCTTCTGTGATTGACTTATTTCACTCAGCGTAATGTCCTGTAAATTCATCCATGTTACAAGATGATTCATGTATTTTTCATTATTCTTTAATATTGCATAGTATTTCATTGTGTGAATGTACCATAGTTT